TCACGGGCTAAGTTACGCCAACTACAAAACTCACTAGTGGAGGCCATCGAGAGGATGTTCGATGAACGTCTTCCTATGGTGCGTGGCTGGGCTCCACAACAACATAGCCCAACCAACTCTCGTGGTGGTCTATTTGGACATAGTGGACAGCATGGAGGAGGAGCTCACGGGCGTAGTTTTCGCTCCCGTGTGCTCATTGATGATGAAGATTATTGTACATCCACCAAGAGGCACGAGGAAGGTCCCATGGACAGCAAAACCCATGTGAGAAAGAGTGCCACCAACCAAAATTGAGTGTGAGAGTTCAAAAGGAAAAGATGAGAGATTCCACCATATGTGAGGAGAGCCACAAAATTCTGTGTGAGAGAGATACACGAAAATTGAGCAAAAAAGAGGAAGAATCATGTGAGGAATTATTTACTACTAACATGATAATGCCTTCTTCTAGTCTTGTTCCTTGTGTGATGCAGGTTCATGAAGAAAAAGATGTGGTGAAGTATGACACGCATGCATATGTTGCTTCCCAAGACGTTGAAGTGATTGTGCAACAAAACCTATGTGAGAATGAGAGCCACGTAGCCAAACTGAGAGAGAGTGAAAACAAAAGAGAGTTGTGTGATTTCACCCACTATGAGATTGAGAGTATCAACAAGGAGAGGGTGAGAGATACACCACAGAAAAATAGAGAGTTAGAATGCAAGTCATGTGAGGATACTTTTGAAACTAACACCCTCATCTCTAGTTATAGTGTTGTCTTTCCAAATGTGCAGGTTTGCAATGAGAATAAGGAAGAGATGGCTGCTCATGACATCACCATACTTGTTGAGAGAAGTGAGAAGGTAGCCATTCATCCAAACTAATTGTGTGCTGCCCAAAACATGAACCATGACGAGGAAAGTGGTAAGATTTCAGAAGCATCATCCATGATACTTGCACTACCACCAAGTCTAAAAGGTAATGAAAATAATTCAGATATGAGTTTGCAAAATAAAATGGTGAGCAATTGTGATGAAACACATGGTTCAAATGGGATTGACCATACACAAAATATTTGCACTGATTTGATAGATTCACATGTTCATCATTGTGCTGAAATTTTGCAAGTTGATAACCAATGTTTAGTCATACATGATCTTTTCTATAGTTTGATATGGTTCATATACATGATACTTTGCACTCATATATCTGATACTTTGCATGCAAATAAATTTGATAATGTGCAAATGAACACTTATGATGAATTCTTTGCAAAAATATCTCATCCTTCATGTGTGGGCTATGTCATGTTTGATAAATGTGTTGAGATCAATAATATACTTGAGAATGTTTTTCGAATATCATCCATGAAATCTTTGAATACTACCTATAGTTACAAGTTTACATTCAATTTGATTGGACATCAAGCTGCAAGTAAATTCTATATTTGTGCTATTTGTATAACATGTGACAAGCTTGCTGATTTGGAGTTAAAAATACTTTGCAACAATTTTTGTGAGCCATATTTTTCTGAATTTGAGATGAAAAGATTGTTTAGTGACTTCTATACAGAACCAAAAATGGTGTCCCCTTGTTCATATGTTATATCGAAAGAAAGAAATCTTGTGCAAACATGTTCCATTCATTCACCCAAATTTTTTTCATCGTCATCTAGAACCATTGAGTTTGATAGGTACTTCTCTGACCCGTGCAATAAGAATCTCAAGAATGTTTCATTCTTATCTTTTCATATATGTGATCTTGCAAAGATAAAACATGATAACGTGAATCAAATGAATGAGTTGGAGGAAATTTTTGTGCTCCCATCTGTGAAGCTATTTGAAGGTTCTCCAATGCTGAAAGAAAATTTCTTACTTACAAAACGGATTAATGTGAATATGAATTATAAACAAGCAAATGGACAAAATGAAATAAAAGATTATTGGAATTGTCATGTACATCCACCCTCTGTTTTGTCTAGTATGTTTTCAGGTAAACAAAAGTCAGGGAGGATGATGAGACCGTGCTAAGGCAATCAACATTCACCATTTGTTCTAAGCATCCATTGAAGGTGAAAGCTAAACTTGATTCCAAATCATTTAGGTTTCCACCTACAAGGCTACTGCTTGGTTTATATGATTATAGATTGAAGCACCTCGCTGTGATGGAAGAAGAACATCGTGATGTTATCACAACACTACAAATTGATGGCCTGGAACAACACTTTGGATCAGAAGAGTTAGAGTTGAGGACGACTCCTTTTCAAGAGGGGAAGGATTATGAGGACATGGCAGCTCAACATGTGTTGAAACATGAAGAAAGCTCACTATCTAGCACAAGTGATTATATTCATGGGACACCTACACGAAGTCGTGCCAAAAGGATAAAAGAGCAGGTGAATTCATTCCTAACTGATTATAATTTTAACACTTCTGAGAATGTTATACTACCTAAATGTCCTATCTTCATGATACTTAGGTTTACACATGAAGACGTGGAAGGCACATGGCCGAAGGATCAAGACACGGTGCTACAAAATAGCTCTGTCGGAAAAGTAACACAGACGGATGACCGGACCTAGGAAAAAGTAACACAGATGACAAGTAACACGGACGGACGACCGGACACAGTAAAAAGTGACGCAGAATGTCAATAGTCTGCCAGGGGTAGAATTTGGTACAACTTCCCATGCAAAACTGTACTAATCTACAAAGTTTCGTGGTGCATACTGCACATGGCTGGAAAGCTCTTCGAGTCTACTTTCACACGCAACAAACGGTTCGTCATTTAGACTTCCCAATAAGGAGTTATGGCCAGATTAGTGGAGACTGCTCTGGAGGCCAACAGTCACGTGAGATCACTTCGGGAATCTATCTCGTGGTGGCCATCTCTATTTCGTTTTCACACCCAACTAGGAGGGTTGTTCCTAGTATAAATATTCCCTGTCTCTAAGCTATTAAAAACCTTTTTGATCATTTGAAAAACCACATGATATTGCAGCCGAGCTGCCGAGTGCCTTACTCAAACCTTTGTTCTTTCTTGTTCTTCTTGGTCCTGTGAAGAGATCCCTCTGGGTCCCCTAGTTCGTGTTCTACAGTTTCAGTACGGCTACACCGTTTTGTGTGGATTAGTTCCGGATTGTGGTTCTGCGGTCGTTCAGAGATCGAGTCGAAGTCTTCGCGGTTTCAGTGCCTCTCTCCCCATCGCTTGGTCGCATTCAATCTTTGTCAGGTATAAAGATAGTTATCCCACTGTTCGCAACAAGTTATCTATGATTTGTGACCTACTGTCGTGAAGATCGGGCCATCCCCTTGCCGATTCATATCAGTACTTATCAGTGGAGAGGGCACCTGTGCCGTCCAGTTCATCTGTTGCAGTCCGCTTGCATCGATGAGCGCTAGCACGCTACGTTGCCGCCGTTCTCCTCTCCGCACATGTGGACGTCCATAGAGGTGCCACTGAGATGCGCACTACATCAAGCCGTACGACTACTTCCTCGATGTCGACTAAATCGACTCGCGCTTTCCGCCAAGTCTTTCGCTGCGCCGCGCGTTTGGAAGATATAATCTCTGATCATCTACATACAAGAGTATCTAATTTTATGTGGTTATTAATATGTGCTAGCGTGTAGCCACCCGCGTAACCCTAAAAGATGTTCTTCTGCTTTAGCCTTGTAGCTTAAAGCTGAGTCCTGCCTCACTGTCAGCGGTAGAGTGGTACTCGAGTGTTTTGACCGAAAGTGGTACTCGAGTGTTGTTGGTAGCTTCCTGTTTTTAGATGACCAGGTGTCCCAAAAATGCATTCTTGGTTGTTCATGTGGCCATATACTAGAGATGGGTACCTGAGTGCCCCTACCTATCACTGAGTAGTAGATAAAAATAGTTAGCCTAGATGAAAATTGATTACCATTTTAGGAACCTACATCACATTTCACTGGATAGTGACTCTTCTGGATACAATTCCATTAGATTAGGTGGTCCTTGTGTTGAATTTTAAAGCTTCCGTAAGAATAATTTGCCTTGGTGTACATTGGGACATTGACACTTTCTCTTCATATTTCTAGAAATGTAGTACATCTAATGCTTCTGCTATTGTCATTTTATTCGCAGCCTAGACCAAGCTATGCTACTAATAAGAGATATTTGAGGAGCTATTGGAGCTCAAGCTGCTAGCTTACTGTGTTTGGAGAAAAACAGAGAGGTGCTATTTTCTGAACTAACGAGTGGAATAAGGGATTTGATGGAGTAAATTGCTTTGGTTCTATGGATTGGAAGAACCGAAGAAGCCACGGAAGAGGAGATGCAGGAGATGGAGATAAACTATAGTTCCGAGTTGGCTGTCTTTGTGGCAAATGTGGCTTATGGCAGTGTCAGGAATCCTGTTCCCGTCCGACAAGCTGAAGCCGAAGGCAAGAGCGCGGGAAGACAAGCCAAGAAGAAGGCCAGAGAAGATACGGGCTCTTGTCATGGGCCAAGCGAAGGAACGACGAAGCCCACAAGAGATAGGAAGCCCAATCCGAAGTACATCGGGTCCAGCTGGGTGACATGATTGGCTGGCTTGGAGAGGAGGGTTAAGAGCAGAGGAGGAGAGCAGGGGAGAGATCAGGGGGAAGAAGAGAAGAGAGGTCGACCGGCTGCATCTGGATTGGAGTGTCGGTAGTTTGCAGCAGCTTGCCGGCCGATGTAACTTACTTGTATTCGTGTTAAACTCTTCCTCGATCGCTACTCTTACCACTATATCATGAACTATACATCTCTGAGTTTGAGTGAGATATCGATATAGTTCACAGGCAGGTGCAATGGAAGAGAGAACAAAGAAATATTTGCCCAATTTTGAATCGCTAAAGTTAAAATTTGCGGAACGTTTATGAACCGTGCTCTTAAAAATGATTAGATAATATGAACATAGTTTCTATTACTCAGTTTTTGATAGGGCATATTTCCTAGTATATGTAAGCTAAATAATAACGTCAATTAGACAGAGTACTCCTATGCTATGATAGTGATCTGTACGACTGTACGTACCTCGAACATAACCTGGCTCTGGTTCCCGAAAGGATCGTCCTTGAGGCCGCCGTAGAACTTCTGCGGCGCCTGAACGAAGCCGCTGTGGAGCTCGTCGTCGAATCCGAGGAGGAGGCACATGGCGTGGAGGGCCACCTGCGGGTTGTTCGCGAACATGTCGCAGTCCACGTTCAGCATGATGGGAGCGTTGGTCACCACCGCGGACACCCTCGTCTGCACAGCACAGGCCACATGCCACAAGGGACGAATGTTCAGGTTCTGTAGACACCGGCCTCACCACTCAATCACTCGTTAGTGAGCTTATCCTGATGATGCCATGCCATGGCGTTGCCACCCATGGATGGCAATATGCGGCACGCCTCTAGAGAGCCTGAACTTCCTGTAATTCTTGCTACTGGACTGCCGTTAGATGGGACTAAACACCGACGACGACGTACCAGGACGTTCATGGCCCCGGCCTTGAAGTGATGGTGCTGTGTGGGTCTCTTTTCCCTGGAGACGTATATGAGGCTTGGGATTGCATCGTCTGCCTCCTGATTGCTCTCGCTCTTGCTGTTCATCTTGCTGCTGTTGTCCCACAGGACCTGAACACTCGCGGCAGCAGAAGAACGTGTCCATGTTTGTTAGCAAGAAAACAAAGCAATGAGATGGGCACTCGTTTCACGAGTATAGTATTTTGCCATGATGAGGCGTGATCAGTTGGTTTCTACCTTGATTATGGTCGGGTGGTTCCTGCGCTCAGCGCCCACGAACTCGGCGAACAAGCCGTCGCCATGCCGGACTAGAGAGTCCTCTTCTGCGTTCTCAATCCGGCGGACCAACTCCTCATACGCGTTCTACATGCAACACGATGTTAGTGACTGCAGAAAAAATAAAGTAGCTAGCTTTAGCTTTACCTTCACGAGTGTCCAAGCGCGCAAGAACTTGGCGTCGTCGGCGGCCCCACCACGCTCCGCCGCGCCGCCGGAGGAGAAGTACACGAAGGGGGCCCTGACCTTGACGCCGTGTTTCTTGCAGAAGGGCACCCAGAGTTTGGCGAACTCGGCGGCCTCGCGCAGCGCGTAGCAGGTCACCGCCGAGCACCCGTCGTCGGAGACGTAGCACGAGAGCTTCCCCGCGGGATAGTCCAGCGCCAGCAGCGACAGCACCGTGTTCACCGTCACCACCGGCGGCTCCAGCCTCGGGTCCGCCGTCGTCACGAACATGTCCACCGCCGGCAGCTCGTCGGTGCTGCTGACGACAAATAAATCATTATTAAACGCATCAAATTGAGTTGACGAAGCAAAAAAAAGCTACGTACTGGAAACCTAGCTTAGTCTTGCCAGCACCACCACTCACCGTTGGGCGAGGCGTTCAGGGTGCGTGTCGAAGCGGACCGGGTTCCACTTGGCGTTCATGTTGATGAGCCACACCACCGTGAACCACGCCTCGCAGATGAGCGCGGCGAGCCAGCACCACGCCGCGCCGCCGCCGCTGGCCACCATCAGCGAGGACACACGGTGAGCGAGGAGGGCCAGGAGCAGGAAGAGAACGGCGAGGTCGGCCAGCTTCCATGCCGTGCGGGGGAGCGGGACCCTCTCCTGCAGCTGCAGCTTCGTCTTGGCGCTCGCCATGGACGACGGACTCTTGCTGGTCACTCTGAGCACTCTCTCAGCAGTAGCACATGTGAACCACAAGAAAACACATTCGGAACCAGTTGGTACTGGTGATCATATATAGATAGACGACACACGCTCGCAGCCAAGGTACAGTGTCTAGCTTCGCCTGGCACATTACGGTAGATTCTCCAATCTACAACATATTTGGTTTATCTTTCCCTTTTTCGATTAGAGTGATTATTAGCAGGCACATTTCTGAATACTGGAAAACTCCCAGTAAATGCCGATGACAGTAAAAGTTCAAACTATCGATTTCACTCCACATCACATATATGGATAGTATAACCGTAGCCTCTTGGCTTCATCATACAGACACAGACAGGCGCTTCACGACACCACAAACAGCACGATCGTTGAAGATTCACCCAAATCCATTCAACATCATCAGCAATTCAGCATTCAAATTCACAAATAAAAAACTGAGAACTGCTCCGATGCTCTCTTTTTTCTTCACTTGGAGCAACTTCAACGGTGACGCATAAGATGAAGTACATATATATAGTCTATAAATAAATTATGATTCAAGGTCTTTGAATCGGTAACTATCGACGGTAAATTATCGGCTAAATACGGCAATCTTCGAAAACGGTCGGAAAATGGCAAAATCATTTTTGCTTTTGTTTCTGATTATTTTTATCATTATCGTTTTTGTTTTTTCGATTACCGCTACCATTTTCGTTTAGGCATGAAAATCGGAAAAAACTCGAAAATGATTTTCAAAAATCGGAAATTATCATTTTTGTTTTCATCCTAGCTGGGTGCGCCCGGCTGGCCGGCGATTACTAGCCACTCCTTTCTGTTTGTCCGTTTGCCACAATACTCTGTGACGGGCGGCTGGCCGGCGATTACTAGCCACTCCTTTCTGTTTGTCCGTTTGCCACAATACTCTGTGACGGGCGGACAGGGCGTCATCCTCCTCCATGCGCCTGCAAGCTATGTCCAACGGCCAATATGTATTCCCTATCTGGATTAGAACTCCTGCCACTTCTTCTGGAAGGCTGGACTCCTTCACACAAAGTATATAGCTTCCCGTAAATGGATGTGCACATGGGTACTTCCGCGCTCGCACCAGCACTCTACAACTCGCGCGCGCAAAAAAAAAAAAAATGCCCCCGCCACTTGCGCCTGGGTTTCACATGCCCATGCGGGGCCGCGCTACAATGCCGCGCGTGGGGACCGCTCATGTCCCCTCCGTTTCTCATGCGCATTGCAACATGTGCAACACCTGATCTACTTTTTAAACATGCAGGTGTACACTTGCAACATAGTTGAAGATAAATGAAACACTTGAAACATGCTTCTGAAACACTTGCAAAAACACATGAAAAACACTTGAAAACATTGCAAACATATACAATATCTAGATAAAACACTTGCAATATATGTGTGAAACGTATTAAACATCTTGATAAACACACTTGCAACAATACATTCAAAAACACAGATGAAACATTGTGAACATGCCTTTGCAACATACGTATACAACTATTGAAACATATGCAACATTCTGATATACTTTTGCAACATTCATCTGAAACACATCTGAATCACTTGCAACATACGTTTTCAATACATCGCAACATCTTCTTGCTGCTTACGAAATGGAGGCTCGCTGGCATGTGGAGTTCACTGGAGGCAACCGCGCCATCGCCACCATTGACCAGCGCCACCATCGAACAGATGGACTCTGCCTACTATGAGGCCGGCGTGGACCCCTTCATGTAGGACACGCAGCCCCCTACAGCCCCTGTAGCCGGCGCCACAGTCCCCACCACCATCGGATCTCTCGTCACGCAGTGGATTTGGTGGAAGGAGCAGCGAGGCAGAGTGAGGCAGAGGCGCGCGATGTGGGCCAGCGGCCACCCCACCGCCCCGATCGAGCGCAGCGCGCGGAGGTGGCCGCGCTTTGGGCCACGTCGGGAGAGAGGTAGAGAGAGGAAGGAGAGGCTGGGGCGGAGATGCGGACGGTGCGGAGCTAGCGGCGTCGACCGGCGATGTGGGAGCGGCGGTGTCGCCTGTGGTGGCCGTGGATACAGAGCGGAGTGCGCGTCCATGGTTTCTTTTCTTTCTTTTTTTGTGATGCGGGCGAGCGGTGCCACGCGATGTAGGTGAGCAGTGCGAGCGGGTTGGTCCTTCCAGACGGGCGGACGCCCGGGTCTAATCATTACTGTTTTTTATGTATAGGAAGAGAGCTTTTCGATAACTAGCAAATATACTCCTGCGGCATTGTTGAACAAGAAATTCAGCTGGTTGCGTGGTTATCTTAATGACTTGCAGCCTAGAGAATTATTTGACAATCACATCGTGCATTTCATGCGTGGTTATTCCAATTCGTTTTAGGATTGGACTCGCCATACCATGCCGAAACACTTTAATAGCGTTTGGTTCGGTCCCATGTAACACAATCCATTTATGCTGTTAAATGTTTGGTTTAAATCGTGTTTTTTAAGGGTATGGTTTAAATCGTGTTTGTTTCCGCGTCAGCCACAATCACATCCCATGTAATAATCAGATACCATAGTATACAAAACGGATACCCCTCGCATCCTTACGTAATCAGGTAGCACGGGACCCGGATAGTCCAGCACGGCACCCCGCACCCATCGTCTTCAATTCGTCGTTTCCTTCTCAGCTCGAGAGGCGTTTCATGGTGACCCTCGTCCATAGCGCCACAGTCCGTCCGTCCCTCCCACACCCCGCCTTCGTCGCCACTCACGAGCGCGTAGAGGAAGCCCACGCACCCAGTAAGGACGGCGATAGCGAGGCTCTAGTGCCCCGTTTGTCTCCAAGGACGTGCAGATCTGCGGTGGCTTGTGGTGCCGATCACGATCTTACAGCTCTACAGGGCTTAGTGCTTCTGTTGCTCAGTGCCAGACTGCTGGGAGCTCCCGCACCGGCCGGACAGCTTGCCGCCAGGCAGCTTTTCATTTTCCGTTTACGTTACTATAGAAAGGTACTGGAGGAATCATCAACCACCTGTCGTGAGGGTATCTTTCATATATATATATAGTCATGTACAGGGAGAATACAACTGTCGTAAAAGTGAAGTACAATTTGTGGTACAAAAATCTAGACTATAGGCCTCGTTCGGTTTATTCAGAAGCTGGCTTGTTCTGTTTCTTTTTTCAGCCGGAACAATATTTTTCTCTCACAACAATTTAGCCAGAACAGTGTTTTTCAGCCAGTTTCAGCCAAGTTTCATCAAGCCGAACGACGCCTATGCAATTATCCTAATATCCGCCCGTAGTCGTAGCAGTAGGGATCACGAAATCACAGACTGATTCGAAGGTTTAGGGCGGCGACGAGGCTAGCCAGATGCCAATCGCCTTTGAAAGTGCATCTAAGCCCATAAGCGGGTTTTGACGTATTGATGATAATATAATTAAGGATCTAATGAGATTTGTACGTGTTTCCTAGATGATTAATTGATTCCCGTCACATCAACCATTGCATATTCTGACGCCGGTGAAAGTTACTTCCGTGTGGACAAGTGCACGAACGCGGCCACGAGCAGGGCAGCCTTGAGCCTGACGCTCCAGGGAATGGCGTAGCTTCCCCTGCTGACGAACCCCCTCACGAACGGCCAGAAGCAGAGCACCAGCGAACCGCCGCACACGAGCTCCCCGACGCCCGGGCCACCGGTGGGCACGTCTTCCCCCGCACCGGCGACCAGCAGCCTCCACGCTCCCACGGCGACGGCGACGATGCTCAGCATCGTGAGCGCTGTCGGCGGGACGAACACCGGCGACGAATCAGAGGTGAACCGCCCCGGGTCGGCGTCGTCGTCCGCGCCGCCGTCGGACTGCTCCTTGCGTGTCACCTCGAACACCGTCTCCGACAGGCCCAGCGTCTTGAGGACCACGGTGAGGAACGCGAGCAGCCAGGCGGACGACGACGTGATCCGCTGCATCCTGTGGTTGTTCCACCAGGCGCGCACCGACAGCCGGCAGTCCATGTACTCGCCCAGGTTGTACGCGTTGTACGCCAGGAACAGCGCCAGCGGGATGACGAAACCCGGCTCTGACGCCTGCATCACAATTCACAATTCACAACAAGATGAGAATTCCAGGGAAGGCTTCACCAGAAATAAATTGTACATTGTCTGATGGTAGAAAGATCGATTTTACCGTACCTTTGGCCGGAAGGAGTGGTTTGCGATGATGCAGTAAGGTCCAAGCAACGCGTAGCACAGCTCAAAGGGTGCCCTGATGTCCCACACGTCGATGACTAGGTAGGCGACGCACTGCCGGAAATCGAGGTGCTTGAACGCGGCGAGAAGGAATGGGTTATGGCGGCTGAGGAGTATCTCCAGCAGGCCCGTGGCCCACCTCTTGTACTGGGTGAGGCTGCCCGGTCCGCCGGTGGGCGCGCCGCCGAGGAATGCGGGCGGGTCGGAGTTCAACAACGCCGTCCTCCAGCCGGCGGCGTGGATTCGCTGCCTGGTCAAGATGTCCTGCAAGGTTTTTAATTTCGGTATCGCCAAAATTTCGGCTACCACCGAAATTGACGAATTACGCGAAATTCGGCCGAGATTTCGCCGAAATTTTTTTAGAGATCAGCACATGAAGTATGTTTTTTCTTAAAAAATTTGGATCTAAACAAATATTAGTATGATTTATGACTACATATCTATTAAATAGAAGAATATGCAATATAAATAATAGAAAAATATAAGATTAGAGTTATATAGCACATGTATTAGTGTATTAAAAAATTTCGGAGTTTTCTTTCAGCCACCACCGAAATTACCGAATTTCGTGAAATTCGGCCGAAATTTCGCCGAAATTTTGAACCCTGGTCCTCGGTCATCGACCCGTACACCCAGCCAACCTGCTATGGAAAGAACATGCATGTATGACCACGCTGTTGCAGCAAAACCTGGAAGAAGATGCTGTGAAGTGAAGGACATCAGTAGTAGAATGTATGGATACCTCCTGACCCCATCTCGTGCCAGCCTCGTAGGTGCAGGCAGAAACTTGTTTCGCCACTTCGACGCGACTCGTTAGGTCGCCATTGGCGCCTTGAACATGTCCCCAGAAATGATGCTCCTCGCCGACTCGGTCAGTTCTTTCGAGCTGCCAAACTTCTTCTGCAGCTCCTTGTAAGATGGTGAATCTGCCAGAGTATGTAGTAGTTAAATGCGTGGAACTGAATCAGAATACACCGGGGAGCAGTCATGGTTTTCTACAGGTTTCCCCCCGAGATTTTCACCTTTGATGCCGATGGTGGTGGTGGAGTCTGGTGGCACGCCGTAGATGACTTTCCTACGGTGAAAGCACCCTGTCCCGCCGTAAAATATGCCTTGAAGTCCGGCTTCTCCAAGCCCAACTTTCTACGTAAGCTCACAGCACAGACGACAAAATTGTGGATATAGATAAGCTAATAACGTCAATCGCTTGTTGTTTGGAGTAGTACTTATATATATAATAATAACAAACACTACAGTGTTACTCTTAGTGATCGAGTACTACTACTCATCATATGATAATGATAGTGTGATCTGTACGACTGTAGTACCTCGTATATAACCTGCATCTGGTTGCCGAAAGGATCGTCCTTGAGGCCGCCGTAGAACTTCTGCGGCGCCTGAACGAAGCAGCTGTGGAGCTCGTCGTCAAACCCCACGAGGAGGCACATGGCGTGGAGGGCCACCTGCGGGTTGTTTTCGAACATGTCGCAGTCCACGTTCAGCATGACGCGAGCGTTGGTCACCACCGCGGACACCCTCGTCTGCGCCACAGGCCACAGGGGAATGTTCAGGTTCAGGACTCAGGAGGCACCTCAAACCTCATCACTCAGCAGAAAGTCTGAACTTGCTGTATGCTTTCTACTGGTCTGCCGTTAGACCGAAGACGTACTGATGATGTACGTACCACGACGTTCATGGCCCTGTCCTTGAAGTGGTGGTGCTGTGTTGGGGCTCTCACTATGTAAAAAAGCCACATATCCACCACCTCACCAAAGAATGCGCCTTTCTGATACGCGTCTGTAGTAAGGTGCCGGCGGGGGTCGTCGGTCCGGCGAGGTCAACACGCGTCTGTAATAAGAGCTTATTGGCGTCTGAGGTAAACCTACAGACGCGTGTATGTAAAAAACGTCTGTATCTGCAGCAGTTATTACAAACATGTGCTGTGATTTCCGAGTCTCGGATAACGGGATCGAACACTACGGACGTGCGTACGTGACATGCGTCTGTAGTAAGATCTCTTATTGCAGACACGTATGTTGTTGCAGACGTGTGTTGGAAACACGCGTCTTGAGTAATCCTACTTGTAGCAAACGCGTCCTCCTCTATACGCGTCTATACTTTGTGGCAGACGTGTGTTCCATACGCGCGTCTGTAGCACTTGGCCTGCGTACTTAGCCGTTGGCACGTGTTAACGGGCAGAGGGAGGTACTTGGCGCGTACGGAACACAGCGGGCAGTGGCTCTTGCGCGGCTTTGAGGAGCGCGGGCGGAGTTGGCGGGCGGCGGCCAGAGTTGTGCAGCGCGACCACAGGCGGGCGGCGGGCGGCGGAAGGAGGGGCGCACGACAGACGGTGGGGTGCACTGCTGTGGCGGGCGGCAGGGCGGAGGGGCTCGCTGCTGCAGCGGGCGGCAGTGACGGCCTTAGGGCTGCGCCGCGTAGGCGGCCAGGCATAGGTGAGCAAGTCTTAAGCTCGAGCCGCCGGCGCTCCTCTCTTTCCCTCTTCTCTGCCGGAGCACTGCCGCGCCGCTCGACGATGAAATTCGTCGCCATTGTTCCATCTTGTACCAATTTTCCGCGCTCCCAGCTCCGCCTAGTTCTTGCGGTCCTCCTCGAACCGCAGTAGCCACCTCTCGCCGCCGCAATCACCTTCGGCGTCGTTTGCCGTGGCGACCGTGCCACCATGGCCACCATGGGCAGCTCGCCGTGGCCAACTCGTTCCGGCGCTCCTCTGGTGATCCCGTTTATTGTTTTAGCTCTCCTGCGACTCAGTGATGCTCATCGGCTCCATTCTTTTACCTCTGCTGTGCAGGTCGTGGCGGAACGGCGACCTTGCCACCAGTTCGCGTCGCTGCACTCGCCAACACCGCCGGCCATCTAGATTCTCCTCAACCCCAGTTCAACCAAGCAGCGCATCAACATCGCGGTGAGCTGCTGATGCTGCCTGAGCCCTTAGACTAACCTATACCGTGTTGTATCTACCGGAGCACCACCGCGCCGCCGTTCTCTATCCGCCGCACCACCATGGTTGTGGTCGAGCTCGAGTCTGACTCTAACTCATTCCTCTATGCAGTGTACTCGATCAGGTGTGCTCCGACCATGTGCTTCTCTGTGAACCGTGGTGAACTTGTGTGAAGCTTGTGTGAAACTTGCAATGTGAACTAAGTCTACTGAAAAATGTGATTTTTATTACTAAAGCATTGATGAATTTGCTTATATTCCTCCATTTTCACTCCAGCCATTGACAAACCATGGCGGTATACATAGATGCATTTCCAGCCAAAGTATATATGTGACAGATCTAGTTTGCATCAATTACATCATCACCAAAAGTTAACACAGAGTTTACATTCACATAGAGTTTCATCAGCACAGAGTTAACACAGCATCACCTCATCATTAGTTGTTCGCCAGCGGCAGAGGCATGGAGCCCTGCAACTTGCTCTGGAGGTCATGCACATTCTGAACCACGGACGCCAGTTGGTCACCAAGGTCATCCAGGTTCTTCTTGAGACTCTTCTCCTTCTATTCGTTCTCAGCCTTCTCTTTCTTGAGTTCGTCAATACTCCGCTGAAGACTGCCTATGCTCTTCATGATGGGTTTCAGAGCTACGTCCAGGGCCTCGTGCATGGTATGTAGAGGGAGATGATAATATCGAACCTATATGCACACAGAAACATTTATAGGAACATATATCAAAATCCAGCATAAATCTAGATATTGACAAAAAAAACCTACATATAAGTTTCATTTGCATTCATATAAGTTTCATTATCCAGCATACATATCAAAATCATATGAGTTTCATATAATCAATTATAGGCTACAAAGTCCATGACCTTGTGAACTCCAGAACCATAGCAAATTAGAAAAATAAAACATCTAGCTGCTTCAACAATGCACATAAAGACTTAGAGCTGCCCCAAAGAGATGAAACCCAATCTACTCAAATCATAATGCTGAAATATTGAAGTGGCACCATCAGAATTATTCACTAGATTAAAATCATTGATCTATGATAAACATCTAGATAAAGCAGTCTACTCAAAGCACAATGTTGCTGCAAAATACAGTATAAGACAGTTTACATTGCTTATACAAAAACTTGAGTTGCATCTGCATTTATTCTACACTAAGTTGTTTTCTCTGCTCCATCTGGGTTTGGGATGAGAGAATGGCATGAGCCAAATTATTTTAGCAACAAACTCATCCAATTCAGAGGCTACCAACAAAACTATCATGAAATTAAGAAAGAAAACCTACATATAAGCAGTTGTAATCTAAAGAGCGTGCATTACCTGGCCATGGGTGGAGCTTGAACCACCGACTTCGCCGCAGAGCCATAAACGGCACGTCCTGGCTCCTCCCTCCAAGCAGTGGTCGCACATCTTGGTGGCCGCTGCCCTTGAGGAAGAAGGCGCCACTGCCGCCGCTGCTTGCATGGCCTTCCTCTCCTTCCTCCTTGCCTCCATGGGTTCTCCTTCCTCCTCGCTATCCGAGTCCACCGCGAGCCCCACCGCTGGCTTCTTGCCCACTGCCCTCGAGGCCGCGGCCGAGGAAGAGGGCATGTCTAGCCTGGCATTCTTCTTCACCACCGCTAGCTGCTTCTCCTTCATCAACGCCGCCAGGTGCTTCTCCTTCCTAGTGATGACGGCGGCCTTCTTCTTCAACCGCGGCGGGGCGGCCAGGACGACGTTCTTCTTCAAGGCCATCATCTTCTCGAACCCCGGCGGGGGGCTCACCTCCTCCTTCACCGCTGCTGAGGATGAGGAATGGCGGGTGAACCTCCCCATCTTCTCGTCCCTCAGGTTATGCCGCCTCTCTGGCCTCGTCAATTTTGACGGCGGCGGCTGTGGGTACGCTGTCGGGGAGGCGAGAGGAGTGGAGGCGGCTGTGCGTGCGGCGAGGAAGGCGAGAGAGGAGTGGAAAGATGAGAGGCCGGAGTCAATGCGATGGCTGCGCGCGCGACGGGGAAGGCGAGAGAGGAGTGGAGAGGCAAGAAGCTAGAGTGAATGCCACTATGCCAGAGTGGCAGTTCCAATGCTTTGAACTGCCATTACTCTCTCGGTTGGCGGACGGCGGCGGCGGGTTATTCAATTGGCTTACTACAGACGATTGTTAATAACACGGGTCTCAAGTAGGAGCCTGACAGGATGGCCCCACCGCCACCCTATTTTAATGTATTGAAAACATTTTAAAAAACAAACACCGCTCTCCATTTGAACTTACGAATGTAGCGCAATGGTTAACTCACGGGGTTGTGGGCCTGAAGGTCTCATGATCGATCCCCACAGGGGTACACATTTTTTGCCTTTTATTTTACTACTACAGACGCGTTTTTATAACACGCGTCTGTAACATGAAATCTTTTGTGGATGAATGCTTAGTTTGGTTGACAAGATGATTTCAAATCTAAAAGTTGTCAACTACAAAGTTTCATAACTTTTTGAGATCTACAACTTTTATTTTGGTAGTTTCTCCATCCGAGGTCATTAAAAAATTGAAATTTCAAATTTCAAATTTTTAGAAATTTAAACTTAGTTTTCCATGACAAGATGATTTCAAATGAAAAAGTTGTCAACTACAAAGTTTCTTGGCTTTTCGAGATGTACATCTTTTATTTTGGTTCTTTCTCCATCCGTGGTTGTTTGAAAAATTCAGGGTCTATTTGTAGAGGCGGCTCAATAGAGTAGTGTATTGGAACATCACAAACACCATCAGAAACAACAATATAACATGAATTACAACTAAAACATCTCAGATTTTCATCACATATACTCAGGATCGAACACCTTCCATTACCAAAAGCAAAAGTGTTTCGATCATGCATACATCCAGATATATATACATATGAACACTAGCTACTCATGCCCACTTGCATTCACTGAAGAACCTAAGACACTCATGGCGGATCATACACTCCTCGCTGTAGAACAGGGCCCACGTCTCCCATGCTTCGTCGACCCCGGCGATGTCACCGTAGCCTCCGCCTCGACACTGATGCTCGTCCTAGCGAGGCATTGGAGAGGCCAGAAGCGGCAGAGTAGGTCTTATTGCATGGCGTGGCAGCACCAAGTCGTCCTGCAACACCACCCTTATAGCTCTTCCGCAGCAACCGTTGGGCAGTGGCATCGTTGGCGGCACCGCTGTTGGACCTGTAGAGCGCAAGAGAGAAAACATAGGTAGCCAGGTCATGGCTTGACTCGGTGGTGCGCTCCAGCATGTCGAGCCACAGCGTGATGGTGCCGTGGTCTTCCTTGAAGACGGCAGACATCCCTGCTTTGAAGCAGGCCTCTATGTGGCCGATGCTAGTGAGCCTAGTGATGAGGTTCGCGTGATACTCGAGCGAGTAGTAGAGCTCCTAGGCCGCATGGTTCAGCACCGGCTCTAGTGGGATGCTCCGTCCCACGTAGGCGGTGCCGCACGCCCTTCACATCTACGAGCACGTTGCCCGTAGGCTACCGAGGTCCTCCATGGGATCCGCTATGGCCTTGGCGACGCAGCTCGCAACCTTAGTAGCCAACTCCGTCGGAAGCTTCTCCATTAGGTGGCGGCGGCAGTGGTGGGAGGAGCGACGTGAAGGCAGATCGAGATCGAGCTGAGCGCGCTAGGGAGAGGTGGATCGTTGGGGAGCAATGCAAAAGGTGAGTTTCTTGAATGAAGGTGGAGAGGTGGAGAGGGGAGAGGTGGGATTTTATGAGCGCACTATTCTTGAAGTTTCCGCTTGGCCATGGGAATGGCGAACATCGTAGCGGTGTGAATGGGGTAAACCGCGTAAACGCGTCTGTAGATTAATTAAGGAATAAAACATTCCAGCCTTCACATTCACAAGTGAGCAAATTTGGACAAATTTCATTTGCATTGTCGCTATGTTCACTCATCATTTCAGTTGCATTCAATGCAAATTTGGACAAATTTCAATTGCATTGTGACAATGTTCACTCATCATTTCAGTTGCATTCATCATCTACACAAAACAAATTTGGACACCAAATTCCATACATTCATTCATTTCATTCATTCAATCAATGCATTGGGGATTACTTCATTACAGCATACATCCAAACACATCCAAGGACAACACAGACAACACACACAATAAACATGTTCATCTTCCACTTCAAATTCTCCAGCTTCTGCTCCAAGTTTTTCTTCTTGGTGTCACCATTTGGACTGTCCACTGAACCTTCTTATTCATCCAGCAGCTTTGTACAATTCGAAGGGCGAACAATTATGATGCCATGATCCTTCAACTGCTGGAAGTACTCCTTTTTGAATGAATAGTAACCACAAAGCTTAGGAAACTAAAAAACAGCCACAAATTAGAACCCTAACTGTGCAAATTAGGGGGATAACACTACAAAAAACTCACCCCATTCCTAGCACACTTGAAGTAGAGTCGGCCGTGGTTGTTACCATCCTTCTTGGTCCGCCCCTCCACCACCCGAGCAAGACCGCAATCCGGACAAGGGATCAGCGGGAACCCGCTGAGCTCACCAACTAGATCCCGAACGACGCCGTGCTCGGAGCCAATGCGGGTGCTGCTGGCACCTTGAAGCCTACTCCTCGCGACCTCGCCCGTCCACCTCTAGATGACTCCGTGAAATGAGACATCGCATCTCGAGCTGGGGGAAGGGATAGAGAGCTTGGCGATAGCGGCGGTGGAGGAGGAAGGCAGCGAGAAGAAGTGAGGCAGACAGAGTGAGGCAGAGACAGAGGGAGATGAAGGAGGATATATATTTAATTTGGTCCAACCTTGCTATAGACGCGTGTTAATAATGAGAGTATGTAGTACTTTGCCTGTGTACTTAGCCGTTGGCATGTGCTAATGGCCAGCGGGAATGGCCTACATACTTGGCGCATACGGAACACAACGGGCAGTGGCCGTTGTCGCGCGCCTCTCATGTGGGCGGTGTCGGCCATTATCGCGTGCGGCGCAGGCTTGCTGCTTTGAGGCGCGCGGGCGGTGGCCGGAGTTGCACGGCGCTCCCGCGGGCGGAGGCACGGCGCGCATCCGCCTGGTGGCCGGAGGATCGCTGCTGCTGCAGCGGGCGACAGTGGGCGGCCATAGGGCCTTCTCGAACTGTAGGTAAGCTCAAGCCGCCGATGCTCCTCTCTTTCCCTCTTCTCTCCCGGAGCACCGCCACGCCGCTCGACGGCGAAATTCATCGCCGTTGTTCCATCTTCTCCTAATTTCCCCTCCCAGCTCCGCCTAGTTCTTGCGGTCCTCCTCGAACCACTGTAGCCACCTCTCACCACCATAATCGCCCTCGGCGTTGCGCAGCCGTGCCACCATGGCCGCCATGGGCAGCTCGCCGTGGCTAGCTCGTTCTGGCGCTCCTCTGCTGATCCCGTTTATTGTTTTAGCTCTCCTACAACTCCGTGACGCTCATCGGCTCCATTCTTTTACCTCTAACGCGCAGGTCACGCCAGAACGGTGACCTCGCCACCAGTTCATGCCTCTGCACACGCCATCTAGCTCAGCCTAGTCCCTGGTTCAACCAAGCAGTGCATCAACATCATGGTGAGTTGCTGATGCTGCCTGAGCCCTTCGACTAACCTCTACCATGCTGCATCGGCCGGAACACCACCACGCCGCCGCACTGCCATGGCTACAGTCGAGCTCGAGTCTGACTATAACTTGTTCCTCTCTGCAGTGTACTCGATCAGGCATGCTCCGACCGTGCTTCGCCATCTTGAGCTGCAGGGGATTGCGGGCGTGCTCAGCTCTCCTCCCTGGTCCCCGGCGTGCTATGCTGTTCGACCTCCTGTTCTCTAGCGTGTGGTTCTTTTGTAGACTATGGAGGATCGAGGCCACTGGATGTATCTTTAGAACCGTACTTGTAATGAGTACTTGGAAGGACTAAAACATTTCCCAGCTGTTGCAGAGGTGGACATGAGGAATGGACATAAGTCATCTATGTTGTGCCCATGTGTTGACTGTAGGAATGAGAAGTAGTACTCGAATCAACTGTCAGTCCATGCCCACCTAATTCTTAGAGGATTCATGGATGACTACAGATGTTGGAACAAACATGGAGAAGAAGGTGTCAATGAGCGAGATGGTGAGGAAGGGCTTCATGAAACTTGTGCTGGTGGCAATGAGGAAGCACCCTTTGGCAATGAGGAACTATGTGATGATGATGTAGCAGAGATTGCTACCAGCCCTATCCCTACGGTTGAGAATCTGGAGGTGATGGTGCATGATGCCTTTGGCTTTGATGAGTACACTGGTTCGGAGTTCAAGAAGCTAAAGCAGTTGTTGGAAGATATGAAGACACCACTCTATCCAAGTTGCAATGAGAGGTATACGAACCTGTCCGCTTCACTAAAGCTTCTCCAACTGAAGGCGACACATCACTGGACTGATAAGGGCTTTAGAGAATTGCTAGAAGTGCTCAGAGATATGTTTCCCAAGGGGAATCAAAAACCTAGGACTACATATGAGGCCAAGAAGATTGTTTGTCTGATGGGATTGAAGTTCAAGAAAATTCATCCTTGCATGAAAGACTGCATCCTGTTCCGTGGTGACAATGCAGCCCTCACTGAATGCCCCAAGTGTGGGATGTTACAAGCGAAGAACTGATGAGGGTGATGATGGTGAGGAGACACGCCGTAGAGTTCCTAGGAAGGTTGCTTGGTATTTCCCTATAATTCCTCGCTTAAAACATTTGTTTGCAACCTCCAAGGATGCACGACTATTGAGCTGGCACTCGGATGGGCGAACGATTGATGATTACATACCCAGCAGATGGTATTCAGTGACGGGTCATTGATTTCATGAATCAAACTT